CCGCCCACTGATCACCCCTCCCCTCACCCACCCTACTGTCAAGCCGCCCACTGATCACTCTCCCTCACCCCACTGACACCCACTGATCACCTCCTCACCCTCACCCCACACCCCCTACTGTAAGCCGCCCACTGACCCTCCTCACCCTCCACCTCACCCTACTGTAAGCCACCACTGATCACTCTCACCACCCCTACTGTAAGCCGCCCACTGATCACCTCCCTCACCCCACCCCTACTGTAAGCGCCTGATCACCCTCCCTCCACCCTCCACCCTACTGTAAGCCGCCACTGATCACCCTCCCTCACCCTCACCTACTGTAAGCCGCCCACTGACCACCCCCTCCCTCACCCTCACCTCACACCCCCTGTAAGCCACCCACTGATCACTCTCCCTCACCCCACACCCCTACTGTAAGCCACCCACTGATCACCCTCCTTACCATCTCCTCACCCCACCCTACTGTAAGCCACCCTGATCACCTCCCTCACCCTCTCCCTCACCCCACACCCCTACTGTGCAGCCGCCCACTGATCACCCTCCTTACACCATCTCCCTCACCTCACACCCCTACTGTAAGCCACCCACTGATCACCTCATATCTCCCTCACCTCACACCCTACTGTAAGCCACCCACTGATCACCCTCCCCACCATCTCCTCACCCCACACCCTACTGTAAGCACCCCACTGATTCCCTCCCTCACCTCACCTCACACACCCTACTGTAAGCCACCACTGATCACCCTCCCTCCTCTCCTCACCCCACCTACTGTGCCGCCCACTGATCACCCTCCTCACCTCTCCTCACCCCCCACCCTACTGTAAGCCACCCACTGATCACCTCCTCACCCCTCCCCTCACCCTCCCTCCCCTACTGTAACCCTCATGATCTCTCCACTCACACTGCACAAGCCGCCCACTGATCACCCTCCCTCACCCTCTCCCTCACCCTCACCACCCTACTGTAACCCGCACTGATCCTCTCCCTCACCCCACCCTACTTAAGCGCCCACTGATCACCCCTCCCTCACCCTCTCCCTCCCTCACCACCCTACTGTAACCCGCCTACCATGCAGGAATAACTAGCTACAGTACCTGGAAAAACCTGCATTGTTAGGTAATGGTTACACTACAGGGGTATAAACTCTTCTCAGACCAGACCCAAGAGGGAATCGGACCCGGCATCACATAATGCAACCTGAGTCTCTTTTCACTGATCAGTTAGCCAGTTACTCAGTTAACCAGTTACTCAGTTAACCAGTTACTCAGTTAACCAGTTTCTCAGTTAACCAGTTACTCAGTTAACCAGTTTCTCACTTAACCAGTTATTCAGTTAACCAGTTACTCACTTAACCAGTTATTCACTTAACCAGTTACTCACTTCACCAGTTACTCAGTTAACCAGTTTCTCACTTAACCAGTTACTCAGTTAACCAGTTACTCGCCAGTTACTCAGCCAGCCAGTCTGCCACACCAGAGTACAGACTGGGTACAAAATAAAACAGTGGCAGTGAAAAATATCCTACTAAGCATATTATAAATTATACATGTAAACACAAGATATATTCAACCTAATGTTCAAATTATTCATATTAAATGTTGGTGGTAATGATGTTACACAAACTACAATTTGAATACAGATACTTTTATAAACTGCGCCAGACTTGTGATAAATATTCATGAATTTTCCAGCAGCACACGAGTTCACTTGCATTAATAATAATAATAATAATAATACCAATAATAATTGCTGTTACATTTATTTTACTAATATTATTATTATTATTATTATTATTATTATTATTATTATTATTGGCTAAACTGGGGGATCTCACAGCCGACGTGTTATTTGCTTTTATGTTTATATTCTTACGATATTTCATCAGTGAATTTTTATATAAATAATAATTTTATGGAAATTTCTTCGTTTGGTAAATAATTAGACGAATAGGCGCACACTTGCCAGATGCTTCTGGTGTCATTGTACAGGGATACCTAGTGACAGCACAAGGATCCCGCTTCTTCTTTCAAGGAATAAACGATTGAAGTTGAAATTGAATTGAATACGCGCACACTACATTTTGCCATTCTCGGCGGTGGTGGGGCGGTACTCAGCCAATCATATGCCACGCAAGCCCCGTAGTTTTAATTGCCCAATCCTCTCGTCCTCAGTGCAGGAACGACTCTTACCTGCGGGTTCTTCGTGTAAGAGGGATGGGTGATTAACCTCCGGGCGTAAGCCGTGGTGGTCTACTTATACTGTGTGAGGGACCGTAGCAATAAATATTCCTCTTACCTGAAGATGTAAAAATGTATATATCTGTCAGACTGAAGCTTTACACTGAAATAATGTACAAAAAAAAATATCATCAATGTTATACTGAGACTATCTGAACCATTTTTGTTTATTTGGTATCAAAGGGAAAGGATTTATACTGACACCAAAGGGATGTTAGGCGTGTGGGCCCACTTTCCTTTACACCGTGTGGGTATCTCTGCATATGGGACTGTAAGTGTAAGACACCTTTATGTATAATAAATTAATAAAACCTATTTAGAAATAACTAAACCACTTTCAATGCAATAAATTATATAATAAACATCTTAACGTATAGATATAAATAGCAATAGTTGAGTGTATAATGTTGGGTGAGGTGCGAGGAAGTATAATACTTGTAATGATTAGTTTGCAAGAAAATGTAAAGAGGTTTTAAATAAGTTATATCATGACTGGTGCAGCAAAATGTAGCTGGTGAAAAAGGCTCTTCCCTCGTCGCTGAATTTGATTTACATGTTATCACTTCAACCCAGACCCGAGTGAACCAGAGGACTTCGTCAGGTTTAAAAAAAATTCGTTTTGAATTTCCTACAAGTTTTTGATCGCTGTGTATTAATAAAAAAAAATTATTAAAAAAAAACCACGAACAATATATCATTTCCACATTGTCTAAAGCGAAAATGATGTAGAATTCTAAGATGGTAATTGAAGTGAGTTGTTAAGTGTGAGAATTACTTGAGAAAACAGGGAGAAGGAATATATAATACAGAGGGCAGGGTCTCTCAGGCGGGATTAGGTGGTGCATGAGGGGCCGAGGCAGCTGGTGCATGAGGGGGCCGAGGCAGCTGGTGCAGGAGCCAGCTGTTCCACCTCCTGCTCCAGCTGTCACTGCACCAGAATCCTATTTCATTCCTGAGCCTTTACTATCGGTTATTATGTGCTGTGCGTGTGGTGATGGTGTGATGATGAGTGTAGTGAGAGTGTGGTGATGATGGTGAAGTGGTGAGGGTGTGGTGGTGGTGAAGATGTGAGGATGTGGTGTGGTGGTGGTGAAGTGAGGTGTGTGGTGATGAGTGAGTGAGGGGTGTAGGTGTGGTGGTGAGATGATGAGGGTGTGGTGATGAGTGTGAGGGTGTGGTAGTGTGGTGTGGTGGTGTGAGAGTGTGAGTGATGATGGTGAAATGGTGAGGTGGTATGAGGGTGAGGTGTAGTGTGGTGTGGTGAGAGAGGTGGTGATGAGTGTAGTGGGGTAGTATGTGGTGTGAAGTGGTGAAGGTGGTGATGTGTGTAGTGAAGGTGTAGTGTGGTGGTGGTGGTGGAGTGGTGAGGGTGTGGTGATGATGGTGAAGATGTGAGGATGTGGTGATGAGTGTAGAGATGGTGTAAGTGGTGATGGTGGTAAGGTAGTGAAAGTGTAGTGTGATGAAAGGTGATGACGGTAATGATGAACGACCTCCCTCTCTCTCACGTGGATTATGGTAGTGGTGGTAGTGGTTGGTGTGGTTCATGGTAGTGGTGGTAGTGGTTAGTGTGGTTCATGGTAGCGGTGGTAGTGGTTAGTGTGGTTCATGGTAGCGGTGGTAGTGGTTGGTGTGGTTCATGGAAGTGGTGGTAGTGGTTGGTATTGATCATGGTAGTGGTGGTGTGGTTCATGGTAGTGGTGGTAGTGGTTGGTATTGATCATGGTAGTGGTGGTGTGGTTCATGGTAGTGGTGGTAGTGGTTGTGATGATCATGGTAGTGGTGGTGCGGTTCATGGTAGTGGTGGTAGTGGTTGTGTGGTTCATGTTAGCGGTGGTAGTGGATCATGGTAGTGGATGGTGGTGGTGGTGTGGTTCATGGTAGTGGTGGTGGTGGTTGGTATTGATCATGGTAGTGGTGGTAGTGGTTAGTGTGGTTCAGGTAGTGGTTGGTATCGATCATGGCCAGTGGTGGGTGTCATGGTAGTGGTGGTGTGGATCATGGTAGTGGTGGTGTGGTTTAGTAGTGGTGGTAGTGGTTGAGTATCGATCATGGTAGTGGTGGTGTGGATCATGGTAGTGAATGGTAGTGGTGGTGTGGTTCATGGTAGTGGTGGTAGTGGTTGGTATTAGTGGTGGTAGTGGTTAGTGTGGTTCATGGTAGTGGTGGTAGTGGTATGGTAGTGGTGGTGTGGATCATGGTAGTGGTGGTGTGGATCATGGTAGTGGTGGTGTGGATCATGGTAGTGGTTGGTGTGGATCATGGTAGTGGTGGTAGTGGTTGGTATCGATCATGGTAGTGGTGGTGTGGATCATGGTAGTGAATGGTAGTGACGTCAGATATATATAAAGTAAATATAAAATAATAACATAATATATTGAGATTATTTTTCAGGAAGGAAAAATCCGATTAGTTTTCTTTTGAGTGTGGCAAAGAAAACGACTCTGGTTTAATGGTAATCTAAAGAGAAATGATGGATCCCTGTATTTTATTAATTTAATTATATCATAGGGTTTATAACTTTATTTATTACAACATAGGAAACATTTAATACACACAATTTACTAGAATTTATCACTAAAAACATAGCACTTTATTTTTTACAGTTCTACCACAAAATGATATTATAACATTCTCAGGGTTTATTTTTAATAGAATAGAATAAAATCTGAATTAACTATTATAATTTAATTAATAGGAAAGTAAATTGAGGAAAATTTGGTTAATAATTATGATAGGAAATTTCTATCTTAAGTTCGGACGGATTCTATGTTGGGTTCAGGTGCTGGTGTATGGAGCCTCCCAGACCCTGTGGACTATATTACTCCTATTAACTATGACAAAAACGATACAGTTCATCATACGTCATGGAAAATATAGACATTTATTATTTTGTCGGAGGATCCATCAGTATACGGTGTCAGAACTGTTTCAGCCTCTACATGTTAGACCCAAAGATGCCATAGTGAAGGAGGAGTCAACTTCTCTCTCCCAGAAGGTATCTACCTCTCCTACCATATTTATCTACCTCTCCTACCTTATTTATCTACCTCTCCTACCTTATTTATCTAACCTAACCTAACCTAACCTAATCTAATCCTAACCTAACCTAACCTAACCTAGCCACAGAAACCTAACTAGGGGGTGTCACCTCCCTTCCTGATAGGGGTTAAATTCCTAATATTCTCCAGATGACCAAAACTATAATAATACTAATTTGTTTGATATATACAGGTATTTACTGTCCTTAATTCTCTGATACTATATTATGTCTTACAGCTGTTGGTGGACTGTGGTGTAATAAACTGCAGGAGTAATGGGATGTTTGCCTTGTTACCTCTAGGCCAACGAGTCATTACCAAGTTGATGAAGGTTATTGATGAGGAGATGAAGCTTGTTGGTGCACAGAAGATGTTGTTACCTTTACTCACTAGTGGTCAGCTGTGGAGAGCAACAGGTATGGTATTAACATGGAATTATCTGTCTCTTGTCTTCCCCTTCACTCCCACTTACTTATGGTGACTTAAAGGAAATAAAATCCTTGATTATTATATTTTAGGTTGTATTTATACAGTAGTATGAATTTAGGTAACTTCTCTGTGTACTGTACTCTAATAAAGAAGTTCACTGATGAATGAACATCTTTATCGTGTAAGGTGGAGTCCACACTGATAGTTTAATAATTTTGTCATTAATGGTGGTACTGTACTTTAGTGTGTTGTCATATGAGATGTTTTTAACCAACAGTCATAAAGGAAATAATTGACTTTGGACCTGTGGACATCCTCTGTATGATGTCATATGGGAAGCATTTTCAGTTGTACTTTATTTTATTTTTATTAATAAAATAGATTTAAGGATTAGGTTTTAGAAAATCAATATTTCCATTTGCTTCTGGGAGTCTTACCATCATTAGTAAGGATCATATACTTTACCGTAGGTTGATGTAATATTTATTGTGTTTTAAAGGTCGCTGGGAATCAACTGGTCAAGAGTTAATGAAGGTACAAGACCGACATAATAAAGATTATGTACTAAGTCCAGTAAGTAGAAGACCCTTGTTAATATGAACCTTATGTCTGTGTTTAGGGGGTAGATGAAGACTGAGTCGAGCTCGGAACACCCTGGAGGTAAAGCTGTGAGACATTGATTAATGTAAGCTTTAATTTATTCCCATGTAAAAGGTTTTGAATTTTCATCACTCATGCCTGAAATTATAGCCAAATATTTTATGTTTTCAGGAAAACTTTAATATTAGTGGAAACAAGTATTAACTTGTTTTCCATATGATCAGGCCTGGTGTTGTGAGATATTTCTCTTGTGTCTGTTGAAATAGATTTACAAATTTGGGGTTAACTTAGCTTTTGGCTTCACGAGTTCATGGGTCTGTACACCATACAGGCAATGCCAGGTTCTGTCTGTGAGTTACTTGATACCTGTATGCCTCACAAGCCTCTCATTCAACTCTTTGTTCATAAAACTGGATTTTACTTTTCAAACCTCATTTTTCCAGACCCATGAGGAGGCAATAACAAACTTGGTGTCAGAAGTATATCCACTTTCACATCGACAACTACCCCTGAGCCTCTACCAGATCACAAGCAAGTTTCGTGATGAGATGAAGCCACGCTTTGGTCTGTTAAGGTGTGAGATGTGCAGCTGTTACCCAATAATATGTTCCAATAACTGCTATTATATAAACCACAAACTTAGAGGTAAAAACAAGGCTGCTATAGAACCAGAACTATGAATGATGCTTATATGTTACTAAAGTTCATCAGGCAATGTTCACTCACTGGTAGATTGTCCGGGCTTCTTACTCATGAAAATTCCCATATCTATGATCAAAGGTATTTAAGAAGAATTGTTTGGTTGTCAGAGGATTAATTAATCTGTTTAACACTTTTTTGTGTGTCTGTACAAAGAAATCTTTTACAGGGGACCCCCCAAGTTTGCGGATTTTTATTTCGCGGTCCTCTTTTCTTCATGTGTGACGCCCTGGATGTACCCAAGAATGTCTGTGGGTAGTTTTCAAGTTGCTGGCATTTGTGTTGCTGGGACAGGGAGCCATTTGTTCTAGAGACAGTAATTTCCTTTACCTGTCTACACACACACACACACACACACACATATGCAATACAGGTAAAAGAAATAATTGTCCAAAGGGCAAACACATAAAAGGAATATACACAAGTAAAAATGTTATTCGCAGATTTGGCTATTCGTGGCCATTTTGAGAACTTAACCCCTGCTAATTTGGGGGCCCCCCTGTATATTGGATGTGCCTGAAACTAGGTGCACTGCTTAGTTTTAGACACAAGTTGTTGAAAGGTATAATCACATACAGTACCTCATTTGGTTTATAATACAATGTGCAATTTTATATATATTTTAAGACAGTAAATTATATATGGGTAATGAGTTGTTAAAGTGCATTAGACTGTCTGAAATACATAAACCGTACAGTATTGGATTTGTAGAAGGTAGGTAATCTTGTCATCACAGTTTTCTAATACAGTACAGTATATTAGTTAAATACATCTACAAAAGTATAAGTTTTAAGTACTATAATATTTTTTTCAATTTCCAGATGCAAGGAATTCATGATGAAAGATCTCTACACTTTTGACAGTTCAGAGGAAGCAGCAGTTACCACCTATAATAAGATATGTGGCGCCTACGACAGAGTTTTTCAAAGAATTGGTGTTCCGTTCTTAAAAGGTCTATGTTCATGATCTTTTTCTTGTAAATGTGTTAGTTACACTTTCGATAATCATACATTCATTAACATAATGTTTTTTGTTATATATCAGAGTATAGTTTTCATACTTTAATATGGCACTTGCACTAATAAGACAGTTAGGTGTAATAAATTGTTTTGGGTTAGATAAATAATGTCCAGCTGGGTCTTAGTAATATACAATTGAAAGCATATTTTTACAGTGACACCTGACAGATTCTCACAGGTCACAATGAATAGAGGATTGACTGAGGGAAAGAATAACAAGTAATCTGGTTTCCTTCTTTCTTCCCTTTAGTGGGATTATAAAGTGGCAGGAACTTAAAGAACTCACAGTAGTTTGTATCACATGAGTCTACAAGAGGGTTTTGGCATATGGCCCGAAGCCCCTCTGGTACTGGAGACACGTACAGTAATGGATCACTTGGCGTCAAATCCTTAACCCTGATTCTATTGAGTGGGAGCAAAAAGAATTATCTCAGTCTATGTTATATCAAGGCCCTGTGGTGTTGGAAGACTCTGCCAGGGGTGATTTAGAGTACTGGATCCTATAAGTCACTCAGGTCATCGTTTTGGTCATACTGTACACTGGGATTTAAGTTTTTAATCTTGTAATTGAGAGCTGAGTTAGAGTTAAGAGTTCTGACAACACTTTATTTCCACAGTTGCCGGGGACTGTGGTAACATTGGTGGTAGTTTCTCACATGAATACCATTACCAGGCGGCAATAGGAGAAGACACTCTGCTACTTTGTGAGGCTTGTGGTGTTTCAACCAATGCTGAGCTGGTGACGAACTCTGATGATGCTTCCTGTGACAAATGTGGTAATCACATGACTAAGACAGCAGGAATAGAGGTACTGTACTGTGTGCCATGTTCCTGTTATTTTCTCTTTTCATTGATCACATGGATTATGTAGTATAGTATTTATGACTGATTATGTATATCATTGAGAAAATTTTTGTACAACTAAAAAAGTTTAATTTGGATTTTAATTGTAGAATGAAAAATCTGTCGAGTACTATGTGAAAGTGGAGAGCTTATATGTTTTGAATGTACACAGTAATTACTAGCAAAATTATATATATTAACACATAGTTTCATGTAACTGTCTAAAAAAAGTATGTATGCAATGATTTGGTAAATATACAGAGATACAAGTTTAGTCGTCTATATAAATTGTGGTTGGCTTGTACACAAATGAGGATAATTTGGTACAAAAGGCCAAGATGGTAAATATTATTCTGTGGACCAACCATACATCAACAGTTTACAGATCATGCATTTCTTCTTTATCGTATAATGGTGATTCATATTTCAATGTTTTATTTGTCATAGGTAGGACACACCTTTCTCTTGGGAACAAAGTATTCTGGACCACTGAAAGCTTCTTACCAGAATGAGAAGGGTAAGCCGGAGCTGCTCCAGATGGGGTGTTACGGCCTTGGAGTCTCCCGTATTATGGCAGCAACAGTGGAGGTACTGTCTCAGGGGGACTGTATCAGATGGCCTTGGGTCCTGGCACCATTCAAAGTCTGTTTAATTAGTCCAAAGGTAAGAGCATAATAAGGTGGATGCTGTACTGTAGCTCTCTATGTTTTGAATGAAAGTAACATTGTAATTGAATTATTTGGATTAATAGAACTGTCAACATTTTGTATATGAAATAAGTCCAAATCTAGTTATAAAGCCATGAATAACACAAAAGATTGTTGTTGAATAAGGTAAACTTAAAGTTTTGGAGGCATTACTTTATGAAATCTTGTACAGTATATGTAAAAATTACTTTTTTATTTCTAGTGTGATTCAATTGTATAAATTATCATGATGACTGTAATAGTATCCTCTGGAATTAATTTTTTTATAGATTAAAAGTTGTTATATACATCAAGATTCATAATAAAAAGTAAGAGGTGAAATACTGCATTTAGTGCTACTATAGTGCACAGTCTACATAATGTTTAGGTTAAGTCAGGTTAAGTTAGACTAAAGATATCTTTGTAGACCGCATGCTATAGTATCACCAATATTTCCCTCTATGCCTTGTGGGTGTTTGAGTTTCATCTAGTGACATATAACACCACATAACACATACTGGGGCCTGAGTGTATTATGAGAGCTATCATGGTAAAGGGCACCAGGATCACCCTTCCATATATGCAGATTTTTTCTATTTGTTAAGTTGTTGACATTAATAACCTTATGAATATTTAATTATTATATATTTTTATCTTCTTTATTTCTCTCTCCGTGACAGAAAGGAAGTAAGGAAGCGAGTGCTGTGTCTTGGGTGGCTCACTTAGCTGACGTCATCAGTTCTATACCAGGTTTTGAAGATGATGTAATAGTAGACGACAGAGACACACTCACTATTGGGAAACGTGTGATGAAAGCAAAGGAAGCCGGATACCCCTTGATTATTGTTGTGGGGAAGGCAGCGTGTCAAGATATACCGCTGTTTGAAGTTATTAATACTAAAAACAATGACTCACAGATTTTGTCACATAAACTCTTGAGTGGATATTTAAGAGAAATATCAAGGGAACAATGATATTATTTATATGAAGTTTAAATGTATATAGTTAATTTTTATACAAGTTTACATTGATTCTGTATGAGGATAGACACTGCTGGTATAGAAATGATGCAAGACTAAATTCTATCAACAGCTTGTAAATTTTGTTGAACAGATGGCCATTATCATAATATGTGGAGTCCACTTATACTGTACTTTCAGAGGTTAACAGTTTAGGACAGTTTCCCTTCATATGGAAAGAGGTTAAATGAAACACAAGTTTGGCAAGATACCTAACAGACAACTTTTGGACAAATACTGTGCCATCTTGTGTAACTTCAGCAGTCATCTGTATTTACTGTGTTGAGTGGATTTGTAAAGTTGTGTCATTCCTGAACATTGTTTATAGTGGACAGATGGTGGTGTGGTAGTGAAGGAAACATGACAATGAGTCGCAGCTTTAATATTGATTTCGGGAATAAACCTCCATCTCCTGGTCATATTTCCTTTACTACCACACTACCATCTGTCATTTCTGTCAGTCTTTATATTAATTTACAATCAATAAAATTTTGTAAATATAATGTTTTGGAACCTTATACAATTATATATTAGCTTTTTACTTTACTTTTATCCTCTTCGCCACTGATCGGCTTGTTAGCCGCCCGGGCGATCGGTCACGTCTCTGTCACGCACTGTTGACAAATACTGGACATGCACCGGCTCCTGAATGTACCTGAACCCACTCTAGTGTTAGTAAAGTCTTGTCTTGAAAGAGCTCACACTCGGTGCCGTCACAACACTCTGGTAGATTGTTCCAAGAGTTTACAACCCTCACTCCGAAAAAGTTTGCCCTCACAGTTTTCTGGACTTGCAGCTTCTTCAATCTTGAGCTGTGACCCCTTGTGGGGCGAGCGTCCGCCAGCTCCAAGTAAGGACACTCAACTGAGTAGTGCCCCCTGAGATGCTTATACACCTCAACTATGTCTCCCCTTGCCCGTCTGTAGTATAAGCTAGGCAAGTTCAGGTGCTCCAATCTCTCAGGGTAGCTGAGGTGCCGAAGTGCAGGCACCAGTCTGGTGGCCCTCCTTTGAACATTTTCAACCAACTGACAGTCCCTAGCGGTTTGAATTTTCTTGGTGGACAGTGGACAAGTCAAGAACATCAATAGCGACCCTGAAAATTGTGTCCTGGGTTGGAGTCCTGGCTTGGGACACTCTGAGAAGGGTGTCATCCAGTGTGACCCCTACCAAATGTCACAAGTTCCCTCCTGCACCAACACTGGATAATATAGTTCATAACAAAGTAATAGACAACTGACCAACTACCTGCATATCTAGTGAGCTGGTAAGTGGTGAAATGATAAAATAACATAGGTATTTGGTTTCATCATGCTCCCCCTCCTCACCCCAGAGTCCTTAGAGGATGACACAACCATACTCAGTCCACCCAAACTTTTCCTTCCCTGCACTTTGTTCATAATAAAATTACTCTACATGTCTTAAGTGTGTGGTTAACTGTTTGATACATGAACATGTGACTAGACATGAAAATTAAGGGCTGGTAAGTTGTGAAATGATGGGTATGATAATTGATAGGACTGGATTAGATAACTACAGTACTTATACAGTATATATTGCATTCACTGTATGTAAAATAATAAAATATAACAGATAACAGAGCATTCTAGGCATGAAAATTTCTTTAGATTAAGGGAGTTTACACATTTATCTATAGTATATTTTTTTTTTGATATTTGACTCAAAACTGTGTTCATAAAATGGGCATCAGTTAAAGTTCAGGTAGGCAATAATTAACCTAAAGATAAATCACCAACATGAACATTTTAATAATAAATTTATAATAATACAAATATTTCACTATAAAAAAAATCATTAATTTCCGGTGTATTGAAGGATTTAAGAGCAGGACATCGTCTGCCTTCAGTTGGTGTGGGGGGGTTATCACGTCTCTCTCACCCCTATAACCTCACCTATTTACTGTATATAACTGTGAGTATCATTATATTTTTGTGTTATAAGAGTGTCACATAATATAGCCCTTGTTTAAAAGATATTTATATGTTAGTGTAGGTTTATCATTGACTCGTGTGTTTGTAGTTTTGGTTGAGGTGTTATAATTCCTGTTTTAAATGTGAGGGAATGAAGGTCAGCTGTTATTTGTGTCTTTTCAACCATCATCAGGAGACAGATAAATTATATAATACTAGAAGTGAGGATTAGGTTATAGGGGTGTAGGTGGTACACTAGCAACGAGTGTATCTCATGTGTAAGTCAAGGTTTACCAGACTCCTATTTATTGCTTTACTAACACAAGATAGATCATTATTCTCTCCTTGTTATCCCACACTGCTTGAAATTGTTTTTGTATTCTTGAAGTAAGATGTTCCTCAACAATTGACAACCTTGAAAATGTTACATCAGATCATGGAGACAGTATTGCAGTTCCATTGTCTTAACCAGGGGTCACCAAACTTTTTTCACAGTGGGCCGGATAACTGAAAGAATGACGAGCGTGGGCCGCATAATCATTCTGTTCAATACTTGCAAGCCAGAACGAAAGCCATGGAAACCATGGTAACGTCAGAGCGTAGGCAGAGCTACCACGGCGGGCCTGATGAACTGACGTCGCGGGCCGCCCGCGGGCCGTAGTTTGGTGACCCCTGGTCTTAACGAACTAAGGTTATACAGTATGGTCAAATTTTAGTTTCGGTCCCTATGTTTTTCCAACGTTTTTTTAAGTATTTTTAATAATTTGGATCTAACCTAACCAATCTAACCTAACCAAACTAACCTAACCAATCTAACCTAACCAAACTAACCTAACCAAACAAACCTAACCAAACTAACCTAACCCAACTAACCTAACCAACCAACCAAACAAACCTAACCAAACTTAACTTAACATAACCTGACCACAGAACCCAGGGACTAGTATATATAACCTAACCTAAATTTCTCAAGTTTCCCAGATGACCGAAACTGAACTAATACATAATTTACTGTATTTATGATAAAATGTTTAAATGAAAACCTTATCATTGAGAAAAATCGTCCTTATACACATTCTTGTTGTTTTCCCTCGGTCATTAAGAGGTGTTTTATATCTATCTTACATTGATCTTCCATCTGTTTCATCAGGTAAATCATCTACCAGTATAAATTCTAGGCGTAGGTCTTGTATCTTTTACATATTTATTCATAGGTCACAATATTATTCATTATATACAGTACTAATAGATATGGTTAAGAATGTCCAAACTTATTAAAGATATGTTATATTACTCTTAGGAATTGTTATGGTAATACAGTGAGGCAAAATAATCACATGTACAGTACAGTAAAGAACCAAAATAATTCACAATGGTAAATAACGTTGAAGTGTATCTTTTTATATCCCTGCCATTGTTAGTGAGTTTGAGATAACGTCATGTCTAACTTTAGTGACTTTGCTGAGCCACACATGGGGTCGGTGTTGCTCAGGTTGTGCTGGGAACCTGATGGCATTGCTATATTTTCCCATATTTTTTGGTTTTCTGTAAGCAAAGAAATTATTTCTGAAATTTACCTAAATGGGCAGTTTTGTATGAAGTAAGGTAAGGCAAGCTGATAAAACTTTGGTATTTTACTAATTTTTTTTTTTTTTTTACGGGGAATAGCCCACCCAGGCGCAGGTTATTTACCCACAACAGGACCTACGGGGTGAAAAATAAGAGTAAAAAGAAATAAAAAAATAGAAGAGAAAATGTTTATATTAATCTACACCACGAAGATGCCCGAAAACCAGCTTATAGAAGTGACACAGATTGTATGAGTAGGGAAACACAGAAGAAGGCAGAGCATTCCACAGTTTGGCTGTGTGAGGAAAGAAGGAGGTACTATAACGGGTTATTCTAGTGTGACCGACATCCACAGAGAAACGGTGGGCACCGCGGGCAAGACGTGTGTTACGAGCCCACGGCCTTGCCGGCGGTACATTGCCCATTAAAGTACCTGTAAAAGAGAGAGAGTGAAGCAACATTGCGGCAAAGGGAAAGGGAAGAAAGATTATCAACTAAAGGAGAGTTAATAAGACAAAATGCCTTTGATTCCACCCTATCTAACAGTTGGACAGAAGAAGAGCCACCCCAGATATGAGAGCAGTACTCCAAGTTAGGACGAATGAATCCCTTATATACTTGAAGCAACTGCTCAGGAGTGAAGTAGCGACAGCATCTGTACAGCATTCCCAGCTTTCGGGAGGCAGCTTTAGCAATGTTGCAGAAGTGAAATGAAAGATGGAAGTTCTTAAAAATGTTTATGATGTAGTATGGTAGAGTGTCATGTTATCAGAGTGTAGCTACAGTATTGTAGTAAACTATCAGTCGCCATAATTATTCCTTCCTTAAGATCTGAAAGCTTCTACATTACTTTTGAGAATTACAGTTAATGTACTGTAAATGTACAGTATATTGTAAAAGTGATTTTTTTTCTTCCTTGCACTTGTTTGGGAAACCCTTACATGTATGATGCTGTTCTCCCCTTTATTGTATGCTGCTCTTTTTACTTATTTTTACTAGGTAATAGGTTTAATTTTTATGGTTGTCATTATAATTAAGGAAAATTATATGAAAAACAAGGACACTTTTGCCTGGGTAAGAAAATATTTATAAGTAGCCATAATTCTCCCATAACCAGACTAGACATCAGTTTGGTTCAGGGAGACTTCACCATTTATATATGCAATAAAGTCTTTTACTTTTTACAGGGTGATGAGGTGATGTTTATTACTATTAGACATTGGTAAATAAATGACACACACCTCCCATGGTATGGTTAAACCTACTCAACACTCTTCATAAAGAGTTGTACACAATATTGCTCGGCCAGGATGCTGCGAAATGCTACTCGCTGCCTCCATCCGGCGGTTAAGCAGGTAATTCTATTTCACGGGTTGTCTTTAATTTCCATAAACTTATACAATATTGAAATATTCCTCAACTAATGGTTTAGGGAAATATTTTTGTTTAACTCAGATTAATTATTACAGTAGTACAGGTATTATTATTTTTATTATTTGTTATTAATTATTATTATACTTTCAACAGGCATCATTCAGGAGTCAGTATACGAGATATATGTTGAAGAATGTTTATCTTTGTCCTCACCGGAGTATTAGTCACCATCTCCTGGCAACAAATGGTCAGTACTTGTGTCTCTATACAGTACAGTAGTTTTAGTATATACTCCTCACATTTTCTGGTAGGGGAATTTTTATTTACATTCTTTATGCCAGAATATTTGTGGTGTTTTTCACTACATAGCACGAGTTTGACGGTCATGTCCCCATAGACTTATTTGATGTATGACAATTGAGCATCATCATAGGATTCTTTTAATGATTATAGACTCTGGTATTTAAAGGTTTATCAGTTTTAATACCCTTACAATTGTTTTCTAATACCTTTAACTTATCAAAATTAGAAAGTTTAGTACAGTACTGTACACACTACAGTACTAAATCAAAATTACAAATTGGCCTCTGTTACTGTACATTAATAATTGGCCTCAATTACTGTACATTAACTTCTATAATTTTAAAGTTTGTCTTAAGTTTTCTATCTTGATGACCAGGTGGCTCCTGTTGAGGGGAGCCAGGACACAGCACCCCAAACTGTTAGCTGGAGCTGATCTCTCTATTGCCCATCCCTCTCCTTCCTTACTGTCTTACCCTTACCCTAAGTAAAGGTTGTCCTCTCGTGCCAAGAGATCTTTTTGACACTTGTGTATGTAACCATTACACACCAGCTCTGGCTTCCATCATCAGAGTGAATCTGTTTACTGATGTTAAGTCTTGTACTCCATTATAGTTCTGTGCGAAGGAATAGTTATGGAGTGTGGCAGCCAAGTGGATATAACACTCAACTCCTGTTGTAAGGGTCACTGGTTTGCACCCAATGTACCTGCAGTTCACTCAGCTGTGAATGGTTACTTAACATAAAGGTTAGAGAAGTGGTGAGGAGAACACTACCCTGGCAGCATGTACAGTACACACATGTAACACAACACATGGTGATACAGTACCAGAAAATATTCCCGATACACAACCGGGAGACGATACGTATACTTCTGAAAATATACCACGACACATTCTGAATTCTGGTTATTGGAGATTTCCGGTATCTTGTATTCCGTCGTCGAGAGATCTTACTTAATACTGTTTGAATGATGATGTGTTTGTTCCACTCTGGTGTATTGTACAGTGGGAAGTTGTGTGTTATACTATGAGTTTTAGTAGATACAGATGAGAAATCAATCAGTTTCATCCTCATATTATGGATAATTCTGTACAGTATAAATTTTACTTTTGTATAGATGTAACAACTGAGGTTGTTAGTCCTCTGAAAGATTGTTCCTTGGCTACCTGCATGTTTTGGATATGTTTCTGTTTCCCAATCTTGCTGTGAACAGTGACTGAATTTAGATGGGTATCAATAATTCAGTAGAATTTGGTGTACTGTATGTATCAGTATTAAGGGTGAGACATATGTCACTTGAGTGAGAATACCTGTAAATATTTTAATGTTTGGCTGTAATGATTTGGCGACACTAATATTTAAATAAACTATATGTAGTAGTGAGTTGACCAGCTCACAACATGTGTATAGTATATTATCTAATATTATTCTTCACTTTGTGATTTTGGAATTTGGCAGATACTTTCATGACAATAAAGGAAATGTATTCTTAGATATCATTCAAATTGGCAGACAAAAGTCTTTTTTGTTCCAGGTTTTATTTTAGTATTTTCTGCAGACACACAAAGTGTGAAAATTAATTGAAATAATTTAGTGAAGTTTGCAGGTACTTTAAGGACAATAAGGGGATTACAGGCAAACCCCATTATTCATAGCCTCGGTATTCGTCACCCCGTTTATCCGCAATCAATTTATTGTTGCCCATTTCCAATATTTACAACGGTTGCCCCGTTTATTCGCAAATTTTTACGAGCAAAAATTTTGAACAGCGCGCCTCAACCATAGCGTAGGACAGCGTGTGTACGTGTATACGTATTCCTCCGCCATACGCTCGCCTCGGTCTCACACGTGCTGGCGTGTGTTTTGTGTGATCTCGCAATGCCTAAGGGACCAGCTCCTAAAACTCCCAGCAATGTTGCTGAGAGATCACGCGTGGCAGTTACGTTGGACGTGAAATTGGATATCATAAAAAGACATGAACAACCCGGCTTCCTCTCACCCCAGTAAACCTTCACCCTCTCCCCTAATGCCAACTTCAGCAAGCAAGCAACACAGCACATCAGAGGTAAATTAACAGTCTACATTTAAAACTTACCTCACACACCTACGCACATAAACATTCAAACACTCACACACCCAACATGTAAAGTATACTGTACTTTTAAACATATACGCCTAATAAACTCAAAATGTTTGTTATTGATGTTTATTATGCCCTTGTTTCTTTATTTATTTTATGTTCTGTATGTAGTGAGTAAAACAAATGTTAAAATCTGACGGCCGTGACCACCCATATCCTCCTTATTTACATTATTTCTTATGGGAGAAATTGATCCGCTATTCACAGTTTCGATATTCTCAACGAGCTTCATGCCCGTAACCTTTGTGATAAGTTAGGCAGCCATGTATACCAGTCATATATTAGTTTAGTTTAATTCAAAATGGTGGGTTTGTCGTCTATGTTATGTACACGTGACATCTTAGTGAATCTCACACCATTATTACACTTAGTCTCAAGTGAGAAAACACTCTGTACAGTACTGGGTTATACTGTATCTTTGTTCTGTAGACCAAGGTTCAAGGTAAGGGTCATCATGACATAAGTTGTTGTTTATATTTACTGTAGGTGGTGGCTGATAGCTGGGGTCATCTTATCATTACAGTATAATCTTGATAGTCTTTTGTAAACATCTATTTTATGTTCTCGGTGTGACGTGTGAGACAACCTTCTTGTCATACATTGTACTGGGTAATTACTGTGTTTTTACCAGTTATTTGTGTAAATACTGTATGACCAAGGGAGCCATAACGTACACAGAGAAATTTGAGGGATGAAATCATTTTGTTTTTAGGTGATTTATTTAAAGTGCAGCAGTTTTATTATACAGTAGTTTGTGTATTTGCTGTAATTACTCTCCCCAAAACAGACACATTGATTATTTCATTCTTTGGTATTTAGTGCAGTATAGAGTATAAAGATTTTATTTTTGTTCACTTGTGAAAAATTAACATGATGTGTTAATGTTAACTCTATCAACAATGGCTTATTATACTAACGAGTTGTTTTCATGCTAATTTACTTTTAACTACAGTACTGTTGATTATATGAGAAGAAAACCTTGATATCCTCTACCTTCCCTTCATCTAGGAGGGGAGTGTTAAGTATGGGTGATCAGCCAATTGACACACAGCAGCTGGCATAACTTATTGTGTAGTTATATAAGGGGTAAAATGTGACCACTTCCCATACATCATATTTAGCATAAGAAAACTAACTTCACTTTAATGATATTGGATTTTGATTGGATTTTTCTAACTCAAGATTTCACATCATTGAGACCTGGTGTGTGGCAGTTAAGGGAGGATGAGGAGGGCTGTTAGGTGAGGTGTAAGGGGTTATGTCAGGGCTGTTAGGTGAGGTGTAAGGGTTAGGGTCAGGGCTGTTAGGTGAGGTGTAAGGGGATAGGGTCAGGGCTGTCAGTCATCTTATGGTATTATAAATTCATTGCACTTCTTTCTTGACCCACATAAAGGGTTTGGTCTCCTTGATGTACAGTCACCCAAAAAATCCTGTCGGGAACCACGAACCCCGAGATTCAGATTCGTGAACCCGAAGCAGCAGACACTGATGCATTATTCTGTCCATAAATGCTTCGGATTCAAGAGTCTGAATCTCGGGGTTCATGGTTCGCGACAGGACTTTTTTGGATGACTGTACAACAAAGAGACATGTGGACGGATTGTTATTTTGTTACAGGTAGTCTTAGTATCTTGACTGTAAGTGGCCACCGTAATTATGACATGTCCTCAAGCTGGTGATAACAAGATGTATTTGTTTATCTGTCTGGACTTCAAGGACTTTGTAATCTCTAAAGTTGCCAAGTTATACATTTTTTCAGTGTTTCTTTATTATAAACAACCCATTAAGATATTATTAACTAGATTATACAAAAGAATTATACATCTATGATATATTTTAGATAGAATTATGTGTATTTAGTGTTTGTATGTTAATGAATGGTGTTATAGATTGTTTATCACTTAACTATGGTATCTGGGATCCTTAGGTGTATTGTAAGTGCCAAGGAACCTTTAACCAAGAACTTTAGTCATATCTGATATTTGTTCAGTCTTGTTTATGGTGTGGTTCAGTGAACATAGTGAGAGTGTTACAGTGATCAAGAATAATTTGCTTATAATATTTCTTAGTAAAGAAAATGTTTTTGAGTTACCTATCATGTATTTTTATAATACAATATCGTTAAATAAAATGGAACTCTTTAATGCTTTTCAGAGAACTTAGGCAAAATTTGAAAAAGTTGTTTTTTTAAGCTGCAGAGGTGTCTTGATTGACAGCCAATACTGTTTCAGCAAGGTAGTTTATATGAGAGTTTTACATTTAATAAATAGAAGATTCAGGCTCAAGATCCATATTTATGGTTAAGGAGATAAAAAGAGTGCCTTGGGGTCCCTTTCCTCCCCAGAGCAAAGTCCTTAATCAGCAGGAATTATGGCTTTGAATTACACTCTGTTATGTGGTGAGTGTGCCCGTGTGAGCTCTCTTGAGAATGGCAAGTCAGACTAAGGTTCACCGCTGGTCTCAGAGACAGCTACTGAATTTAAACACATTAACTTGTTGGGCACCAGGTAGTACAGTACTATATATTGATGACTTACAGGGAGGTAGTTTCCTTCAGGATTATTTCTCATACTATCAAGCATTGTACATCTTTTAAGAATATGCATATCTTGCCCAGGATGTGTGTGGCAGTATCTGTCTTCCAGAGGTCACTTACTTATCTCCTCAGTCTTCTTGTAATTTTTTGCTTTACCTTTAAACTATTCATTACTTTTGTCCTTCAGGCACTTGGCACCTGAAAACTCAGTACCAGAGTCCACACAAACACCACCACAGGCCATTTACCATAGCCAGGATGACTGGTGGTAGTATTTTCCAATCTTCAACAAGTCTTGGGGTTACTCCCTTGCCATTATGGGCTCTTCCCGATACTACATTTAAGGAATGTCACGTTCGTCTGTACTCCACCAAGCCGCCCTCCGTGCCTTCATCACCAGTTGGTAAGTTGAGTTACTTGTTACAACAACTGTACAGTATTATGGGGGCACCTGAGGTTTATTCTGTTTCTCATTATAGTTACACTGATGAATTTGCCTTTGTAGGAGAAGGTATTTTTCTCTATCAGTATTACAAACACACTTGGTATACTGTACTGTATGATGTACACAGCTCACCTAAAGAGTATTCTTCTAATATTGATGATATAATGTTGTTGACAGTGAAAATTTGCTTTTAAGGAATTTGAGGCATAGTTACAGTATTGACAAATTTTCCCTTATCAATTGAAAACCTTTGTTGGTTGTGGGAAAATCTAGAGAACAGAAAAGTTTTCTACATACAACCAGTATAAATCTTATCAGTGATTTAAAGTTGGATGATTCACCCAGAGTTTTGTGACAGTCAGAGATACTGTATAACTCCAAGTATTTACTCAAGTAAATAGATAATAAAAGTTGTATTTTAGAGAATAAGTATAGCAGTTGAGTGTGTTGTTTGTGGTGGTTTTAATATGAAAGCTTGACAACCCAATTTTGTGTGAAAAATTATAATGAAATGTGAGGTTTAGAATTCTATGTACAGTAGCTAAAACAACTATCTGTGCAGGTGGGGGTCGATATGCTTAAAAATTTTACGTGTGACTGGTGACAGCCCTCATATACCCAAATATATCGTCCATGGTCTCATATTGTTTCCCACAAAGTATGCACACATAGTTGTTTTAGCTACTGTACAATATAACTTTCTATGAAATGGTTGATACTATGTGTGTGTTAAGTGTTCCTTGATGTTTCTGTATCTGTGCTCTGATCATTTGTCCCCTTAATTGAGGTTTGTTTTCTTCAGTTATTCCACCTACTGTGTGTGCAATGGAGAAAGATATTAGATAGGAGGATTTAAAACTGTAATCACACTTAAACTAGTAGAAGTGTGTAGGCATCCACACACACACACACACACACATGCATTTATTAAGTGTTTAGAAGCTCTTCCTCATTATGGCAGTCAGTGTCTGTCATGCCAGGTCTTATAAAATCTTAAAAATTATCTTTCATATTGGTAAATAAAAAGCTATAGATTAAATGCTTTTACATTTATTCATAGTTTGGAGGATGGTATTTTTACTTTGAACAAATGTATAACTTTCTTGATATTACATTATTTTTCACCCTTTACAAATGAGTGCCACAATTAATATTACTTTATTTATTACCATTAACAAATGTATAACATGCTCTATATTACATTATTTTTCACTTTTATCAAGATGAAAACCACAATGAAACCAAGACCTCAGGTTCCTCGGGAGAAAATGACGGCAAGAAATACGTACAAGCTGGAGGATTATCAAATAAGGAGAGAGACGAGAAGAAGATGTCTTTAGTACAGAAGTTTAAGCTTATGTATAAACAATACTGGTATGTGTTGATCCCTGTACACATTGTGACCTCCGTAGTCTGGTATGGCGCGTTCTTCATAGCCGCCAAGAGGTAATGTGTGATGTTATTGTTGTCTACTGTACTGTATATTGAGTGATTTATAAAGTGTATTATATTTATACTAAACTGAACTCATTCTATATTGAACTTCTAGCTAATATATATTGGCTTGTACAGTCATCCAGAAAAGCCCTGTTGCCTCTCCTGGTGAACCACAAACACCCAAGATTCAAACTCATGAACCTGAAGCAGCTTACTGAATAATGCATGAGTGTCTTCTGCTTCGGGTTCACGGGTCTGAATCTCTGGGTTCGTGGTTCGGCAGGAGAGGCAACAAGACTTTTTTACGGGACTCAACATAAACTATAATTGGCTAATGGGCATATACAGCCATTTGACATATAAATATTTCACAAGACTATGTTTTACCCTGGTTGGATATTTGCAGTGGTGTTGACATAGTTCCAATATTGGAGAAGTTGGGGGCGGGAGAAAAGATTTTATCGCATTTACAAAACAGTAACGCCGGTTATTATGCTATTGCCTACGCCATGTACAAAATTGCCACTCCTGCGAGATATACCATCACAATAGGTACGTGCTAACGAGATTCTGACTGTATTTTTTTCAGTTTAAAATGATGACCATATAGAGTCTATTTATTCCTAGTAAGTTTTATATGAGTACTGGATGAAGGATGAAATTAGTATGTTTAATTTAATGGTAGATGGAAGGAGGTAAAGGAGATGGAGGAATGGAATGAAAGGAGATGGAGGAATGGAATGAAAGGAAGATATTTTGCTGGTTGGTAATACTGAGTGTGTGAAACAACAAAGAGAATTCCATATTTTGAGAGCCTGTTGTGGGAAGGTCTTTACCACCATATTAGAATCCATCTTTTACAAATAGTGATAAAAAACGATTACCAACACAACCCATATACAGTATATTTATTACCTTGAACAAATACTAACACTCCATAACCCATATATATATATATTACCTTGAACGAATACCAACACTCCATAACCCATATATATATTACCTTGAACGAATACCAACACTCCATAACCCATATATATATTACCTTGAACGAATACCAACACAACCCATATATATTACCTTGAAGAAATACCAACACTCCATAACCCATATATATATTACCTTGCTTTTAAACTGATCCATAGTGTGTTAAAACTGCCTCCTTTCTGTTCTGTTATGTTATCCATTATTCCACCATCCAACAGTACTGTAATCTCAAACACTCATAATTTACCCATTATTGAGTTCCTATCACTATGTTCCTGTATTCAGTATAGCTCCTTAGTGTATCATTCTCACCACACAGATTATCATACCCATAGTGTATCATTCTTACAGATTATCATACCCATAGTGTATCATTCTTACAGATTATCATACCCCTAGTGTATCATTCTCACAGATTATCATACCCCCTAGTGTATCATTCTCACAGATTATCATAACCCTAGTGTATCATTCTCACCACACAGATTATCATACCCCTAGTGTATCATTCTTACAGATTATCATACCCCTAGTGTGTCATTCTCACAGATTATCATACCCCTAGTGTATCATTCTTACAGATTATCATACCCCTAGTGTATCATTCTTACAGATTATCATACCCCTAGTGTATCATTCTCACAGATTATCATACCCCTAGTGTGTCATTCTCACAGATTATCATACCCCTAGTGTGTCATTCTCACAGATTATCATAACCCTAGTGTATCATTCTCACCACACAGATTATCATACCCCTAGTGTATCATTCTTACAGATTATCATACCCCTAGTGTATCATTCTCTGAATTATCATACCCCACATTCTGGTGTCCCCTAGTGTATCATTCTCACAGATTATTATACCCCCTAGTGTATCATTCTCTCATTGATTATATCCCCTAGTGTATCATTCTCACAGATTATCATACCCCTAGTGTATCATTCTCACCACACAGATTATCATACCCCTAGTGTATCATTCTCTGAATTATCTAGTGTAATCCATTCTCACAGATTATCATACCCCTAGTGTATCATTCTCACAGATTATCATACCCCTAGTGTATCATTCTCACAGATTATCATACCCCTAGTGTATCATTCTCACAGATTATCATACCCCTAGTGTATCATTCTCACAGATTATCATACCCCTAGTGTATCATTCTCACAGATTATCATACCCCTAGTGTATCATTCTCACAGATTATCATACCCCTAGTGTATCATTCTCACAGATTATCATACCCCTAGTGTATCATTCTCACAGATTATCATACCCCTAGTGTATCATTCTCACAGATTATCATACCCCTAGTGTATCATTCTCACAGATTATCATACCCCTAGTGTATCATTCTCAATTATCAGTGTATCATTCTCACAGATTATCATACCCCTAGTGTATCATTCTCACAGATTATCATACCCCTAGTGTATCATTCTCACAGATTATCATACCCCTAGTGTATCATTCTCACAGATTATCATACCCCTAGTGTATCATTCTCACAGATTATCATACCCCTAGTGTATCATTCTCACAGATTATCATACCCCTAGTGTATCATTCTCACAGATTATCATACCCCTAGTGTATCATTCTCACAGATTATCATACCCCTAGTGTATCATTCTCACAGATTATCATACCCCTAGTGTATCATTCTCACAGATTATCATACCCCTAGTGTATCATTCTCACAGATTATCATACCCCTAGTGTATCATTCTCACAGATTATCATACCCCTAGTGTATCATTCTCACAGATTATCATACCCCTAGTGTATCATTCTCACAGATTATCATACCCCTAGTGTATCATTCTCACAGATTATCATACCCCTAGTGTATCATTCTCACAGATTATCATACCCCTAGTGTATCATTCTCACAGATTATCATACCCCCTTGTTTTTCTCAAAGCTTCCCTCATGAGGACTTATAGATCAGAAGCAGCTGTGATATTAAGCCTCTTCTCTCTCCTCCTGTAGGTGGAACAACAATAGCCATCAACTACCTGAAGAAGTACGGCTACATAAGACCCGTCCCGTCGTCCGAGAAGCTCAAGGAGATGTACGAAGGTAAAAGGGAGGAATTGATTGAGAAGAAGGAGGAAATAGTTGGGAAATACCAGGAGAAGAAGGGAGAGATGGTAGACAAATACCAGGAGAGGAGAGAAGAGGTGGTGGGGAGGTATCAGGAGAGGAGAGAAGAGGTGGTGGGGAGGTATCAGGAGAGGAAAAATGAAATGGTGCAGAGGGTAACTGACAAGAGGAAGGAACTGAGGGGAAAAGTATCAGAGAAAAGGGAAGAGTTTAAGGATAGGCTTGAGGAGAAGAGGGAGAAGCTTGGTAGTATAAGGGACAGGAGTAAGTGGAAGCCTTGGTGAGGTAAAGTAGAACATAGTTAAGATATTTTAGAAAGTGTTTAAAATGTTACAAGATTTACCATCACCACGACTGTACAATTTTTTATGCACTTATTTTGTGTTTGTGTTGTCTTTTCTGGGTATATTTATGTCTTTTTCTTGAGCTTTTTATTTAAAATTTATTTATTTATAATTTATTTTGCTTTATAATATTGTAAGTCCTTTATTTACATTGTGATTCCCGGAAAATGCAACATTAGGCGAAACACATTAAATGAAACCCTACTGTATCATTACACATCATGTATCTTGGAATTCTGTAGGTGCTGTAGTCCTCAACTTTACAGAAGGGATTCGACTTTGAAAAGTTGCCCACACTTAAATTCTGTAACACAAACCAAATTTTTCAATGGACAATTATCATTTCTTCGGGTGTGAATTTCACCAGCCATTCCTGCTTCCACCCGGTCTTACCCACATCAAAACCTTTAGTTGGTCACTTACTTGGCTACATTCAATATCTTTTAAGTTATTTCAGTGATTACTATACTGTACTGTAATGATAAAATATGTACTTACAAGAAACAGTATAAGGTAATAGTAAACACAGTATGAAACAGCTTGAAGTAGTAAACTATGCAGTGAAATAGACTCCTGACAGATTTGTTTAATGGCAATTTGTTTTTGTAAATTGATATATTTTTTTCAAATTTATACACTACGTAAAAAAGTGGATAAGTGTATTACAGCATACTAGTAAGATTAAATACATCATTAAGTTATTCCACACCACATATGACAATGGTGACTCTTCTAAAACAGTGGTTTGGCATTTTTATGCATAATCTTCAAACTCTTAGACACTTTCTTTTGACTTAGTGATTTGACCCAAACACTTAACAGTCGCCTTATCTATGCATTATGTATTTGTATTACAGTACAGGTACGTAGTTCTTAATGGGGTCACACTATTTTGTCAATGTAAGTGTGTATTATTTTAACTGTCTTGGGTGGTAAGCCAAGTTCTCTGCTGATGTCCACAGTTGATTCCTCATCACCTCTAAATGAATTATTTTCCTTGTCTTCTCTGATACTCTCATGCTTGTAGAAATTTACTTAGGTTTTAACGGGTTAAAACTCACAACAAATGCACAAGACTTAACTGGCTCCTAACCAGCGTGATGTGGTGTTGACACTGATGCCAGAGTGATAATGTTTTGCATCATTAGGACCAAAGTACAGTACAGTACAGTACTGGAGTTAACCTCTGCTTTTTACTTTAAAATTTTCAGTGTTTAAATTTAATTATGTTCCTTACTATATCAACACCATCATACCAATCCAACGTAAATATAGGACTTACAATATCTATTATTGTAGAGGTGCTGCTAGACTGTGAGAGGTTAAGAACAATTGTCTGTGGTGTAAGAAAATGCTGATTGATTGTGCTGTGTTATGTGCATTATTCATAGAGAATTATCTTCACACATGCCTGGTGGTCTGATACTAGTACAGTACAGTATACTTGAGCCAGTACTGTATGGACTTGATGAATCAATTACTGTAAGCTCATTGATATTTGAGTTTTGATTCTTAAGTGAAACATATCTTGATGTGAACCAATTTTTGCTTTATAGTTAGAAGCTGGACACTGGCTGAAGATATGTAAATACATGATAAAAAAAATTTAATGGGTATAATGGAATAATTCTTTGCCTTGTTATTAACTTAAAACTTTTATTCCCAGAGCCATACTTTAGGAGAGATAATCTCATTTGTTTTCGTTTTTTGGCTTAAACTTTGTGAATCAGCAGTTGACTTTGTGCTCTAAGATTATCAAGAAGAATGTGGGGAACAGCCCTCCAGCCTCCTTCCCCCAGCTAGACCACCAACAGTTGTGGCTGATAGATAAAATTACGTAAATTAATCGTTGCAAACCCAGGGCGTGATAAAGTTTATATGTGGTAATATTTGTGTTGTGACAGTTGCAGTTTAGTGCTGTACAGTGGTCCCTCGGTTAACGAACACAATTCGTTCCAGAAGGTCGTTCGTTAACCGAAAATTTTGCTAACTGAAACCATTGTTTCAATGGGATTTTGGGTAATTGGTTCCTGCTCACCAAAAATTTCATTCAAACTAAAAATAAATGCAGTAAAGTACGCTTTACTTTGAGGTGTGCATGTAGAAGGCTCCTGGTTGATGATGATGATGATGATGAGGGGAATTAGAATGGGGGTGGAGGAGAAGGGAGAAGAGAAGAAAGCATTGGGGTGGAAGAGAAGTCGCCCCATGCTTCATGTCGCCATTTCACCCATAAAATTTTGGTTCACTTGGTGTAATTCAAGATTATTTTCTTTAAATCAACACTGCGCTGCATTATATATCATCAATATGTAAAATAAATTTCAAAATGACCAATAATTTGACTGGAAACAGAGAAAAAAAGCGTTTATATTGAAGAGAGAGTGAAGCAAGATGTTATCTCCACTGAAAAGACACAGAGACTGACGCCTGTATGGTGTGTTGACAGGCTGTTTGGCGCACTAAAAACTTCTTGATATTTACTAAAATAGTAAGGAAATTAAGCCCTAGAACCGATTACTGTATTGGCGGACTAATACGACAGCTAGTGTGCAAGCGAAAACATGTTGGGGGGCACTCGTAAGGAATTACGTTAACCGAAATTTTGTTAACTGAGGCGCTCGCTAACCGAGGGATCACTGTTTGTAGATGCTCGTTGGACTTGCCATGTGTATGCTTTAGCCCCTTGTACCTTGTTTATTATTATTGAAGGGTTCTATATCTAAAGTCTGTACAGGGTGTCTCAAAAAAATGCCTTACAGGTTTTTGTGGGGATCATGTGAGTGTATGTACTGTATTATAACAGCAACATTGTCCTCATATATCAACAAGTGAGGACAATGTTGCTGGTGTAGTACAGTACAGTACAAGCATTCATACTATCTCCACTAAAATCTGTATATGGTGTTTTAAAATAAGAATGTTTAAGATGTTTAAAGGAATAAGATTCTGTAATGCAAAGAGAGTTACAAGTTGCATAAGCTGTAATCCAGTGATGAGGAAGATCCCATCTAGAGTCATCTCGGGCATAATACAGTACAGGGTTATTTTATTCAAGAACCTTAAATGACTATAATATTATATTTTAGGATGTGCAATAGACAGGAACCTAAAATTAGTAGGAATGAAGACTGGTCGTGTTATTACCAAGATTATTTATATTCTTTTCAAGGATCATATTACTCACATGCACACTTTTTTATTTCTCACTTCCTGTACAGTTCATTGATGACTGTAAAGTTTTCAGCAGGAGACTGCTTACCGTACTGCCTTAACTGAGGATTATGCGACATATTGTGCAGGGGGCTATACATTATTGTTGCAGTAGACATAACCTTGAACAGTGCAAGGCAGAAAGTCTGGCTGTCTGTGTGCATAAATGGTAGTTTAGTCACTGGGTAGTGTTCATTTTCAGTAGGTCAGCCATTCTTGTTTGTGAAAAATTCTTTGTTTCAGTTGTACAGGAGCAAATCTTTTCAAAATCTTATTTACAAAATAGTTAACAAGAGAGTATTTATAAGAATGTTTTTTATTATTATTTTCATCATTGATAAAATTTATTAAAAATATACAATAGATTTAAAAAAGAAATAATAATGGAATAGATAAAAGATCATGATAGAGACACAACATAGTAAAAAACTTTAATATAATTGATAACATAAAGTATAATGTAAAAGTAAATATATTTATGTGGGGAGAAAAATTAGATGAAAAATGGTTCAGTATATTATTGAAACATATACAGTAGAGTCGTATCCCAGTAAAAAATACAACAGGCAATGATACGAAATAATGTAATTGAAAAATGTGTACCATATTGATAATATTAGTGTATTCTTCCCATTTTATTAGTTATGACACTGTACAGTTTACAGATGAAGTAGATACTGTACCCTCAAAAATTTGCATTACACTGTACAGGTATTCTGAGACTTTAACCTGATCATTCCTTGCAGCAAATACATGTCAACACACCTGGTGATAGGGAGCTCTAAGCCACTTAGTACCTGTTTCCTGCAATTTTCTGTGTTGTAGGAATTTCATTACAGAATATATCCTAAAATTCTATTGTACATACTAGTGTAAATAATAAAGAAATTTTAAAAAATTTCCTTTCAATATAATTCTTTGCTTGCCCCAGACTACAGGTTTGGGAGGAAGTAATTGACTGAATTTTATTTTGAGTTGTGTGAAAGATGCTACAGTACAGTACGGGGGGTGAGACTATCTTAGTCTGTTCACTTAAAGCTTGCAACTGAGGCCTAGAGTCAGTTTGTACTAAGGCAGCTGATGGGTTGGCGGACGGACACTGGAAGAACTACTACAGTTCTTTAGTATTTAATCTATTGTATTTATTTTCTGACATTTTAAGGGATAATAACTTTTCACTGTTGATCTCTGATAATTTCTGCACTTGGTGAAGCAAAAATATAAATACAGTTTTACCCCGCTTAACGCGCTTTCACTTAACGCGTTTTCGCATATACGCGGTGCCTTGCCAAAGCTGAACTTTCACTTAACGCGGGTTTTTTCCACATATACGCGGTGAGTGTCCGGCTCGGATGCTATTTTTAGATTTTGCCCACGCGCCACGCGCCACCCACCCGCCCGCCTGCCTGCCTGCCTCTCCCTCCTCCTCCCTCCGCTTGGGTAAGCGGCGCGGTAAGGTTGCGCAGTGTGTGTCTTTGTTGCGTTATCACTGACGTCATATGACGTCTCGGACTGTGATTGGCCATGCAGCCCTACCCCCCTCTGCTGCTAGCTGTAATTGGCTTAAAGTATTATGACGTGACTACCCCGGGGAGGGAGGGAGGGAGGAGAGACGACGCTTGACCTAGCCGCGGCAGTTTCATCCCTCAAGGCCACGCCGGGTTAACGCGCATCCATTGTTCCGTAAAATGGCTTCCGCCGGACCACCACCCCCAGAGAGAAACCTTTCCTTACCGCAACCCACCACAGCCAGCCCAAGCCAGTGATAGTGATAGTGAAGTTGATTTTGAGGGATTTGTCAGGGAAGCCATGACAACTGTAAGTGACAGTGATATTGATTCACCTAGTAATGGTGATTCACCTAGTAATGGTGATTCACCTGAGGGGCAGTAATCTGCCCTCTGCCTCGGAACCAGCCTCCATCCCCGTATGCCGACCCATCTCTTCTACTACCGTGAGTGTTCCTCAAAAATTTTCGTTTTTTAACCTATTCTTTATTTTTCCTATGTTAACCTTTATCTTTCCTAACCTAACCTCTTCTATATTACTTGTTTTTCATGCCACCATAAAGTTAAGATAGAATTTTTACTACAACATAGTTATTTGTCGTCAAAAAGTGGAGTTTGGGGGTCGGGCTGGGTTCTATTGGAATTAATCCCATATGTTCTGTTATTCACTTAACGCGGTTTTCACTTAACGCGGGACCCTCTGGGTTCAATTGACCGCGTTAAGTGGGGTACAACTGTATAAATACTGAAGCGCTGCAGTGATTCTTCGGGTGTCCAGCTGCCAACCAATCAGCTGCCTTGCTACAAACTGACCCTAAGCTTCAGTTGTAAGCTTAATGTAAACATACTATAGTTAGCATAATTAAGGATTTAATGTGCGTATGAAGACCCCAAGAGTATTAAAAGATTGTAGTTAGTGTGGGAACAGGGCAGAATATTGGTCTACCCTCATACCAAACAACACCCTGAACAGCCTCCCTTGATGTAGGACCACTGTCATCACTAAACAGGGAAGTCATTTATTATGTTGTGATGCCTTCAATCAAGAGATAAGGTGAGCTATTGAATTATTACTTGGATTACAATACTTAAATATCTTATTCAGATGAATGAAGGTGTGCAGTTTTTATTTTTATAATGTTAAATCATCATCATCAACATTTTACGACCTCTTTCCATGCTTATGGGAGTTAACCACGATTACTTGATGACAGGTCTCCCTGGTGCAGTCTCTTGTAGCCTCACTTTTCAGGCTCTTAACTCTTCAATACTATCTGCTATCATTACTAAGTCGTCAACATACAACTCCCAGGCCAGGACAGTCCTAAAGTCCCATGATAAACAGAAGGGGGCTCAAAACAGACCCCTGCTGGACCTGTACTTTCATCTAAAATTCCTCACTTTCCATTCCATTTATTTTCAAGCCCTTGTACAGTAATGCCATAGCCACTCAAACAAGACATTCCTCAACCTCTAGCTTTCTCATTACCCATTTTACTTCTTCACATGGTGCTGTACCATCAAATACCTTCTCTAAGTCTACAAATAAAAAACAACTTCACTACATATTTCTCTGGCCATAAATATTGCCTCTGTGTTCCCCTGACCTGACAATGAACCCAGACAGCATTTTGTTAATGTCCACGCTCTCCTTAGTCTATTTCTCAATCACTCCTTCTTCCACAACTTTCATATCTTGATCTAACATCTTCAGGCCCCTGTAGTTTCCACAGTCTAGTGCAGGGGTCACCAAACTACGGCCCGCGGGCCGGATCCCAAGTCCTTCCCCGGCTCGTGGTAGCTCCGCCTACACTCTGACGTTACCAGAGCTTTCGTTCTGGCTTGCAAGTATTGAACAGAATGATTATGCGGCCCGCGCTCGTCATTCTTTCAGTTATCCGGCCCACTGTGAAAAAAGTTTGGTGACCCCTGGTCTAGTGCATCACCTTTACCCTTGGCATAAAACATGGTCAAACACTCTGGCATAAAGGTCAGGAGGACAAATACCAGAGGATTAATGAAATCCATATTTTTTTTAGTTTATGTATCATTTAATTTGAGCAAGAGGAGGCACATCCTTGGTCTCTTACAGATTTTATGTATAGACCTGTCTAGTCTAAACTTACCCTCAATATTAATCATCATTGTTACCTATGTTTTAGTTTCCATTATTCTGCTCAAGGAGTGTGGAGGTTAAGTGGATACAGCGCTCGCCTCCTGTTCCATACGTCGATGGTTCAATCCCAGGCACTCCCAGTTCACCCAGCTGTTAATGGTCCCTAAGTTTACAACTTGGGGAAGTGAATGCAGTCGAGTGCAGTACCGGCCATGCTGCCTCCTTGTGTACTGAAGGCTTTAGTATACATGTACTTTCACTTTTCATTCAGCTTAAATTGTTTCCTCTAAGTTGAGGAATCTTTGTATAATAAACAACTACAGACTCAAATAACATTGCCTATAATACTTGATTTCTCTTGTCATATTTTGTAATGAAGTTTTTGTTAACTCCTCACTGTTAACATAATAGGATTACAGCAGGCAGTTTATCCATTGTGTTCTGTCCGTGAAAGTTCTTTGCTTGTGTAGCAACTTTACCAAATGTGGTCAGACTTGTAACAAATTTCTTACAAAGCAGAACAGTATATCCTTTATCCTTAAGCTCTTTGAACAGCAAAAATTATCTGATTACCAGTAGTAATCCTCTTGTGGGGGATCACATCACTTGTGTGTTGTGGTAGAAGTAACTGTTGAGTCTGGATATATTATTGGTGGTGGCTTAGGTTGTGGGGCAGAAGCTTTAGATGTGTCTATAATCACTGTGGATACTTCACCATTCAACATCAACTTTTCCCTGTCTTTATCAGCTTAAAATCCTAGCCCTACAGATGGTAATTTTTCCTCTAATGCAGATAATAGTCTTTGGGTGGTAAGTAAATAATCAATGATAAAAAAATTAAATATGATATAAACAGGAGGATTTACATGAAGGGCATCAATGATACATTTTGTTAATAATTATTTTTTGTATAGAGTAATTGTTATAGTGGTTCTCCTGTCTGTTGACAACAATACTCTAGATGTCTTGATGTATTTAGTAACAGCTGGACATGTTAATTGATTTGGAATAGAACAATATTATTACTTTTTCAATATGTTAAATTTTCCCTTTACCGGGTATATGAGTATGTGAGCCCCTCAAACTGTTTCACTGAATCCATGACACAAAGTTGGCAGCCTAAAACTGTATATATTCACTCATGCTCAATTGACTGAAAATACTGTACAGTACAAATTTTTAAATAGATTGTACTGTACTATGGCTTTTAATTCCCAAATATTTTTGCCATGTTAGCTTGGTAGAACAGTTACTGCAGTATATAGTAAAAACATTTATAAATAATATAAATCAAAAGTGTGGACAGAGTTTGTGTTTATAGGCTAACACATTGTATAGTGCTACAATTTGCTCTACAGTATTTCTCTTCTAAACAGTTGTGCTTTTGAGGGTTCGAGCACTGACGAAGATCTTCAAAAGAAAAGACCAAACAGCATTACCGACTCGTCTCTATAGACCCGTGTGATTCATGGTGTGCTTGTGGAAGACTGGGAGGTTGATGCCTAGGAGAGAATATGGAAATACAGTAGTCAATGATGTACTGTGTATGTCATCAATGCTTTAATAGTACAAAATTATAAAAAATACCATAGTAAAATAATACATATACCTGTACAGTATATCTTATCCATTAAGTTGTCCTATTTAACCTTTAAACTGTGGCCAACATATTTCATGTTTCAGGTGCTCCAGATTTTGCTCACCTGGGGGAAGATTAGGGAATCCTCACTTGCCATATAAGGGTTTAGAGGATGTTTGAGTATGAATTACTGTACCATAATATAATACTGTGCTATAATAAATTACTCTGTGCACTTGGTTAAAACATGACAGTTGTTCTTAACTGTATAAGTCTTGTAGTGCTGCATTTATTACTTTTGTGTTGAAGCAATAGAGAAAGTTTTTACAATATATTATTGTTATAGATTAACACTTTTGTACTTGGTTATATATATATAAAGGAAAAACACTAGATACATTACATATAGAATTACACTATAAACTTTGTCTTTTATTCTCATATCACCTGCCTCTGGGTACATTGTACATTTCCCATGTTGTTATCTAACCTTGGTCAAAGCCTAGTGAAGGGGACTGTACAGTACAGGGTACTGTACAGTCCCCTTCACTAGTGCATTTACAGGGTCTCCTCATATAAATATTCCACAAATCATTCCATTGAGATATTTGTTTTAATATTGTTTTAATTAGTCCATAGTAGTGTTTACTATTGTGAGTTTCCTTCTGTTAAATGTAAACAAACACAACGTTGCCACACTGTACACAACCTGACGAGTCCCTGTAAATGCACAAGTGAAGGGGACTGTACACTGTTCATAATTAGTAAGAGAACTAATTCTTTTTTGTTCCTCAAGCACCACATTTACCTCTGAGTCTGTAGTCTATACAGTATAGTGTTTCACAGCAGATACAGTGGCCTTCACATCTATGATTTAAGAAACTAAAATCCTTCTCAGCTGTAGACACACTGAACAGTACTGTAAATAAAATACTGGTGATGAAATTTTATGATGGGCAAACACGATCAGTTTTGACCGATAACTGTTTAAAGTGTAACTGTCTTTATATAAAACATGTGTATACTGTATGTAGTATTTGTGTTTGATTTGGTAATTATTTGAATGTTTCTGCATGTATATACTGTACAGTATATTTGTTCATGTGTAGTTGACCAGTAAATGCACATTTGACAAGAGTTAATACTGTATATATCTGTGTGACGTAATGATTGCGTATGTTGTACAGGTTTCCTCTTTAGTTTCATAGACTCAAAATTGCTTACGAAGTTAACTACAGTACACTCAGAATTGAACATTGCCATCAAATATTATTATATGGTACCCACTTGGCAGCCAAACTCCATAAAACAAGAATTACCGTAATCAATATCTATGAGCCAGTCATTCATCTTTTATCAACCACGTGTTCAATGGTTAATACTTGTCATCACTCATGTGTTCATCAGTTACTCATTTATTTCAAGTATATCATCAGTGTGGAACTCTTGATACATAATGGGGTTCTGTACCATATATGACACATCCACTATCAAAGGGTTAAATGTACGTCATCAACTCACATGGCCATTAATCACACACTTATTCTCGAGTAGTGTTAGAAAGTTTCCATCACACAGTAAGTGGAGATATGATGTCGGTCATATTTTTTCCCAACTTCCTTTACAAATATGCTGTATTTTGTTCTATTTCTACTTTTACTTATTTAAACTTTGTTATTTATTGTTGATGATATATTCTGGGAAGCCTTATTTTAATGCAGTTTTCCCCATAAGCAAATATATTCCACCAATTTTTATTAGTGTCTTGTTTATATCTTTCCTCTGTTATTTCATACTTTACCTTCTACTTCCCTCTTCCATTCTTTATTTATAAACAAACACACATGTACAATATACGGCTAATTGACAGATAGATAGATATTAAGTAAAATTGTCATACAAATTTGGATTAATTCACTATGTACAGTATAGACAATAACTGATTTTTAAGATTTACAAATCCTAACACTTAACCTGACAAACTACCCATAATGGATGACAAACTACCCTAAATGGATCTAATACCCCTCCCCTGACAAACTACCCTAAATGGATCTAACATGACAAACTACCCATAATGGATCTAACACCCTCCCCTGACAAACTACCTAAATGGATCTAACACCCCCCCCTGACAAACTACCTAAATGGATCTAACACCCCCCTCCCCTGACAAACTACCTAAATGGATCTAACACCCCCCTCCCCCTCCCCGTGTGTGGGTGTGTTCTGGGTCTAGTTTTTTTTCTATAGATAAACGCCATTCGAAAACTTCCCACAAAACCTTATGAAAAAAAAAAAAATCCCGATAACGTAAATTTTATTCTTTTCCCCAGACAAAATTTGTATTGTATTTTAGAATGGTTGACATTGAGTAAAAGTATATAAAAAATGTCATCGTAAAACTTGCCCTGATAAACTTGGCTACCAGGGAAAATTTCTCCAGTCATCGATAGAATGTTAAGTGGAGGGCCCGGTAGCCATCACGCCTCCTTCACGTGATCACCCACCCCCACAGTCTTCCTTGGCTGAGACAGTTCTGAGCAGGGTTAGGTAAGTCTATGGCTGGGAATTAGTTGAAGTGATAACAGCTTTTATTTTATTTATCGCTTAGGAAATACTGTAATTCATAGATTATGTGTTTTACCGTTTGGCTATACGAAAGATTCTCCTTTATCATAGTTTATCAGATATTCTACCCAAGAGGTTTAGGTTAGGGTGATTCATTGTCTGGTGAAATAATTAAGCTGGGGGTAGAGCTAATCTTCCAGTCATCCGAAACATCATTGGAATCTAAAAAAATGGAGAAGTTGCATAATACCCATTGTACCAAGTATAATCTTTAAATTGCCTGTAGTTCAGTGGTTCATAAGTAAAGTAGAAAATTTATTGATTCATTTGTCTCGGTCTTAAACGAATTTATTCTTCATCTGATATTAGCAAAGTGATTTATTTCCATTTTTATATCGGACAGGTCTATCGGTTATAGCTCTCCTAAGAGGTTCTGTGAGGCCGTCCCAAATAGGTCCAGTTTTATAGCACAGGAGGAAACCGGAGCTGTGATGTTCAGTAGTACATTACTGTAATGGGTCACACTGTACAGCACTCGCCAGTCTTCACATTTAATCCAACTGAGAGACTCTACCTCAGATAGCAATGGTCGGATATTATTAAAGGTATAACTAAGCTTTAAAGGTTAATATCTTATTGTGTGTCAACTAGATTAGATCGTATAATGGGCCACAAAAATTAATTAAAATAGCCATCTTAGTGCTTTAGTTAAAACGGTCTACACTACACGATATCGTGATTTTAAGAAAAAAACACTTTGTCCAGAAATGCATATATTATTCTACTCTACCATAATTACTGAACAGTGAACAGAAGGCACATATGTAAAGATAAAAGAATTCGATAAAGAAAACTACAAAACTGGCATCTGAACTGAGTGTGCGCATAACGAGGCTCCATGTACCGGCAGCTCCCACCCGGCAGACGACGCATCGGCCCTTCAGTAAGCGCGCGGTGGTCAAAGGAAGAGTACGCTAAAGTAATAGCTACTCTCCGGTGACAGAACTTTTAACAGCATATAGACTAATTTCATTGAGAGAAGACATTTGTCGTAATTTTGCAAACCATTTTAATAACCCATCAACAAAGGAATAAAATTTTCACTGTAAATTTTATCAGGAAACTAGCTGTTACTGGTTGTTCAAATTTTACCGTTTGCATCCTAAATTTCCCTCCAACCTCACCGAGCACATCAACAAATCCACCAAGTGCACTTAACTGCATTTAAAAGGTATGTATAATGTAGTGATTCATTTATAATATAGTAGTTTAATACAGTGATAGTGAATTGACTCGTTGGCAGTCCAAGAGATATATTTTATGTATATATATGCATGAACGATGTGCTGGCCGGGCCGTGTCAAGGGGTACTGTCCTGGGACCCAAGAGACAAAGTACCCGGTGGAATTATCGTCCATGAAATTGGTAAAGAATGGGAAGATCAGGTGACGGGAGTGGTGGAGCCTGACATAGGTGTGGGTGTGTCGCCACGCCCTTCTTCAACCGGTCCACACATTACTCTTTAATGGTAACCTTACGGCTGTACTGAAGCTTTACCGTATATTAGCCGTAAACTTTCCTCGCTGGTATTATTGATCTACCTTATGGACGGAAGGTTCTGGTCCATACATCTAGAACATTCACTGGAAGACTTGTTCCCGTGTTAAGAGTCTGGATCAACCATTATAGCTTTTCATTATGGAGGTGAGTGATGGTTGATTTATTTATTGTTTATTAAAATAAGACAACAGCTGGACTTTATGATTTTCTGTGTAAATATTTCTGGTTGATACTAAAAACAAACAAGTACAGCTGTCGGTAAGAAGGTGTTGGTGATCATCACTTCGTCAGGTCCCCATTAACCCTCCTAAAAGTGGCCTGGCCTAATTATACCCTGATCATCTTATACCTGGTTACATCGTACCCTTGGCCACATTCAGCCCCAGGCAGGGTAATATCTGGTTTTGGGCAGAATGTCCAGGCGAGATAGGAGCTCTGAGGCCAAAAAGTTGAGTGTCTTATTGGTGTTCATCGTATCACTTAATCCCGGGCACAGTGATTGCTACATTAACAAGACGTTTGTGTAGCATAATTTTAAATATCAAAGTCAAAACCCCCTTTTTTTTACAGGCTAAACGGTATGAACCGAATGTACAGTTGAGAGAAACCGATAATTAGCAACGCTAATAACGGAAGATACTGTACATGGGCAAGGAACTCTTATTTCAAGTTGCTGTGTTAGGGGATACAGACACACAGTACAGTACTTAGTTTTGGATGCTGTCGGTGATATCGGAAAAGTGACATAAGCGCCACCGGAAGTTACTAAGATACGGCAAAGTTTGGAGAGAGCGAATACCACCTATTTCTTTGAGGAAGGGGGAGGGGGGGGGGGTGGTGCATCACTAGACAGTATGCATGGAAAGTTGCACCAGGGGAGAGGACGGACTGGATTGTGGGGGCAGTTGTATCTGGGGAAGGAGAGGACTGGTTTGTGGTAGAGAATTGGCGAGAGATAAAAGTGAGGGTGGCAACGCTTACAAACGAACAACAAAGCGGTTAAGCCCCCCAGATGTAACGGGTGAATGGTTATCGACCCCGTGTTGTATTTCATTCGTGTTATCTTTCCTCTCCCCCATTTCTTTCATTATCTTTTAGTTGTTGTATTCGTCTGTTATAAGCCTAATACTGATCGGGTCTTTGTTGGCTAGTCTCGTATATTAATTTTCATGTATGTATTGATGTACTTCTCCCATAAATATATTGGCACTACTTCACTTGATGGCCGAAGCTGTGAAGAACCGAGTCCATGGGCTGCAAATGAGTTACTTTATTAGGGTTTATATAGGTTAGGTTAGGGTTTTAAAGGTTTGTTTGGTGTTCTTTTTAGTATTTTACCCTACGTTTCCTTCTACGTCAAAGCCTTATTACGCAAACAGAAAAAACTATTATATTCAAGTTTTAAATATATTTGAAGTAGATAATACAGACGAGTGTGGAGAACAGTCTTGTTAGTGTGTTGATGTTGGGACTAAAATAAATGTTTATAATTGTGGTGTCAGTTGTGGAAACTGTCTAGTCATCGGTCAATACTCTTGGGGGATTTTGGTCTGTATAGACACACTCGGCGAGTGTGGTCCGGATTAGAACCAAATTAAAGCGAATATTTTCATCTTTTTCAATCTGCAATGTGCTGCCACGGACACGTATTAATAAAATCATTTGGGTAGTGAAAGTAATAAATTGGTGATAGTTTATTGTCCCACCAGTTTGAAGTCAACAAAAAACATGACTTGTTCATTGTCACATCACTTGTCCACGAGCCATTTTCTTTTTAGTTACTTTCTCATGTGACATGTCCTCCACTGTTGCGGGGCTCGCGGCCTCTGGACTGGTCTGCTCGTCCAGGTCGCCTATCTTGGTTCACTGTCTGGTTAGTTTAACACAAGTGGCGAGATGAATGAAAGCAACTGTTTTGGGATCACCTGAAGAATTGTCACCCCAGAGTTTGGCAGGGTGACAATTCTTCAGGTGGGATATCCTGGGGTGACGATTCTTCAGGTGGGGTCAGGACCCTCCATGGTTAGGTTTGGATAGGTTAGGTGAGGTGTATATTCTTTTTTTTCTTTAAACTTTTCACAATAAAGATGCATAACACAAAGGAATATATTTGTTATCCTAATTATACAAATTATATTCACTGTGGGCTGGTGTGACGATTCTTCAGGTGGAGCAGGCTGGGGTGACGAGTCTTCAGGTGATCCCTGTTTTGGCCGGTATAAAGTGTTTTATTATAAATTCAGAAAATATTGTTTCGTGTAATGTTTAGCAAGTTTAAGAGGAATATTATTAAACGACCACGTGAGGCGTTATATTAAGTATACAAAGCACTGTGTGGATGATCGCTATGTACGGCTACAGTTTTAGAGAGCTGAAGTTTGGTAGAGATGCTCGTGCACTCAAGGTGTCACAAAGGTGGATTTTTTTAGGATTTATCCTGATGGTTGGCTCTCACTCCTGAAGGTGTAACCCTTCATTATTTTTCCCCTCTTATTGTTATGCATGACCACGGTTTAAGATAGCTGAAGAGCATCTAAACTGAAGGAAATAATCGCCAACTACAAGTGAGCCTGAGCTACACCCCCCCCCCCTGCATCACCTCATTTTCAACACAGCTGAAGTTTGGTGATGTTATTTTGTATGTTCACTTGATTTTGACCAAGGACGGACTCGGGCTCTGATCTGCCTGCATCTTTAATTCTAAAGGTGGGGGGGGTGGTCCCCTCCCGGGTGAGCCCTGGAATGTTGGGGGGTGTTGTGGCTGCATCCATTTTAATATTTTATTTAATCTAATTATCATACTACCACTTGTTAGCTTACTTGTCAATGAGACAGTTAGTCTGTTGTGATTACTATTAAAACAAACACGGTCAGTGCCGGTTACCCCAGGGTAAGTTTATTGATTCTGAGCGTTTTGTCTGCACTAAGCACCCGGCCTGTGTTCTAGACGCTTATTTGGTGGAGTTTTACGACCTGTGTTGAGGCCGAGCGGGGGAGGCCTTGTCCACGTGATCGTCGTGTGACCAGGAACAAGGTTCACCCCGTCGGTCGCTCGTGGGAGCTCGGTCCTAACGCGCACGACTACTACTCTTATCACCACCCAAACAAATTTTTAACAAATTCTGACTAAACTTAGTGAAACCAGATTCGGCATTGTTACGTCTCAAGATGGAGTTAGTTTAGTTTTATTAAGTAAAATTTGGTTTTGTATTATATCTAAGGTAGAGTCAGGTACCGAACTCGCACCTGCAGGATTGGAAGGCCAGACTCTTATCCACTGAGCCACATTGGTTGGTTTATATCTAAGTTAATTCATATAACACAACTAAAATGAGACGGTCTAAAGGAGAAACGTTTATGGTAACAGAAGCCTGGTAAGTGAGCCGTGTGGAGGTGAAACCGCTGGAGGGGGAAGAAGTAGACTCCCGTGACCTTGAACTTATGATCATCACCCGCCAGTTATTGGTTCATAGTGTAAACATTGGCTTCACTATCAGTTTTGAGTGGTACAGTAAAGTTGATGTGCTTATATAACTTATCTACTCCTGTGCTCACAACGTTAAATAAATGGCCGAACCAAACCTCTTTTACATAGTAGTTTTTTAAAGGTCGTGTCTCTGTCCTCACAAGTTACATGGTGTTGGTAGAGTATATTTTTCCTGCTAACTGTATCTTGGTACCATCTAGATACTGTACCATACTGTACCATATTTCAGAGTATAGTTAAGGCTGCCTTGGAACCTTTATAAATCCCAGTCACTCCGCGTCTCGTTACTCTTTTGTTATGTTAGGCACAAAGAACTGTGTTGCTTCTTTGTCCTCCATTGACGGGGTTCACACGATCTGTACACAACAGTATTATGGTCCGACATTGTTTCTCCCAGTTGTATTTGGCGGGATTCTTGGTGTTTTCTGTACATAAGAACATACGAAAATAAGGAGTCTGCAATAGGCCGGTTGACCTGTGCATGGCAGCTCCTTTACTACCACTCTCTATCATCCATGAATCTATCCAGCCTCCTTTTAAAACTTAACAGCGTTCCAGCACTTACTACAAAGTTGCTAAGCTTGTTCCACTCGTCCACCACCCTATTTGTGAACCAGTTCCTTCTTATCTCCCTTCTAAACTTATCCAACTGTAACCACACACTATGAACAGCTGTAACTACTGTACTATACTGCTTATCATGGGCCTGCCTTAGCCAGCTAGTTCTAACTGGTTTTATCTGGTTTCTGTTCCTGGCCCACGGGGTTGTCGAACGTATGATAAATTCACCTTTGTGTACCCAAGAGTTACTATTATAGCTGCAGACTCGTATCGGGAGGGGGAGGGGGTGCTGGCCTATGACCTCAGAGCCCATATTGTACTAGATTGACCTGACTTGGGGTCACTTAGTTACTACCAACCCTGATAAAGGGGGCACGATTGTGGTGGCGAGAACATTAAAGTTCAGACTGATTTACTGAGTAGTCCAGAGAACCACTACAGTGCTATTAGTGGCTATAATCTGGAGCAAGATGTGACACTTTTACTACGGTGTGCCCTCTGTTGGGGGTCTTCGTCTCCAGGAATTTTCATTAACACCCGACAGTATTATTGATCCACCTGAGTACAGTAGATTACGGCAGTGCGTTCATTGCATTACCATTACACGCTTGAGACCAACACAT